TAGTCCAAAGCCCTTTGCGTTTATATTATCATTTGAGTCTCACTATTTGGTAACTGAAAGGTACAGGCCACTTTTAACTTCACTGGTGAGAAAACTAAGAGAGAGATTTTTAAAATGTGCCCAGGAGTCTGTCCAGCCTGGTGATGAGCTGCGTTTCACTCCTGACTCTAGCACTGATACAGAATCGGGGTGTGCTTGACTGTGTGGGCTGCTGCCACCCTGCGGGATACCCAGAGGAGTCCTTGGCTCCCAGCTTTGGCCTTGCTGCCACCATTTGGGGAGTGAGGGAGTGAATGGTAGCATGCCCACTGTTTGCCTCCCTGACCACTCCTTTCTCCTCCTCCTCTGCTGCCTCTCTGTCTCCTGTTTCTCTGCCTCAGATACTTTGTTTAGCTTTTTTTGAAAGGCACAGTTACAGAGAGGAAAGACAAAGAGATCCTCTGTTTGCTGGTCCCCTCCTCCAAATGGCCGCAGTGACTGGATTGGGTCAGCAGCTTCATGCAGGGCTCCCACATGGGTGCAGGGCCCTGGGGTTCAAGCACTTGGGTTGTTCTCCACTGCCTTTCCAGATGCACCAGTAGGGAGCTGAAAGGGATTTGGAGCATTCGAGACTTGAACAGGAACCTGTATGCCAGCCTTACAGGTGACAACATGCTGTGCTGCTTCTGTGCTTGCCCTACAAATACATTTTAAAAAATTTTTTAAAAAATCTGTTTTCTTTAGGGTCACACATGTAGTGTGTGGCAGAGTTGAGACTCAAGGAGTACTTTGACATAAGTTTAGACTCTTCAGATTTGAGGTGGTGCCAGAAGATATGATTTGGGCTTTGGAATTGATGTGGGTTCCTTTTTTAAAAGTTAACTTGTTATTGGGCCCGGTGGTGTGGCCTAGCAGCTAAAGTCCTCGCCTTGAATGCCCCGGGATCCCATATGGGCGCTGGTTCTGGTCCCGGCAGCTCCACTTTCCATCCAGCTCCCTGCCTGTGGCCTGGGAAAGCAGTCGAGGACAGCCCAAAGCCTTGGGACCCTGCACCTGAGTGGGAGACCAGGAAGAAGTTCCTGGATCCTGGCTTCGGATTGGCATAGCATTGGCCGTTGTGGTCACTGGGGGAGTGAATCATCGGACAGAGAATCTTCTTCTCTGTCTCTCCTCCTCCTCTGTATATCTGACTTTCCAATAAATAAATAAAATCTTAAAAAAAAAAGTTAACTTGTTAGTGTTTAAATATCTGTTTTCTTTCACATGAGTGATGTTGGCGGGTGTAGGGGAATCTTAACGTGTAGTTTCTGCCTCCCAGGATGCATTATGAGGAAACTGAATTGGAAACAAAGTAGTCTGGACTTGAATTGGCAGTCTGATAAGGGGATGCAGGTGTCTTCACCGGCTCCAGATATTTGTCATTGTGAAGATCTGGAACTGCCCATTAAATAGCTCTACCCCCACCTTCGAGGTCAGCTTACTTAGGTTAAAGGCAGAACTATAGAGGTTGAATAATATTCTCTCGTCATGCAAATGCCACTTTTTTTTTTTAAGATTTATTTATTTTATTACAATGTTAGAAATACAGAGAGAAGGAGAGACAGAGAGGCAGAACTTCCGTCCGATGATTCACTCCCCAAGTGAGCCGCAATAGCCAGTGCTGTGCTGATCCGAAGCTGGGAACCAGGAACCTCTTCTGCGTCTCCCACACGGGTGCAGGGTCCCAAGGCTTTGGGCCGTCCTCGACTGCTTTCCCAGGCCACAAGCAGGGAGCTGGATGGGAAGTGGAGCTGCCGGGATTAGAACTGGCACCCATATGGGATCCCGGTGCGTTCCAGGTGAGGACTTTAGCCGCTAGGCCACGCCACTGGGCCCCAAATGCCACATTTTGTTGACTCGAGCCTGGGTGGACACGCGGGCTGCTTGTCCCTGTTGGCTGTCGTGCAGAGCGCGTGTGTAGAGAGCTCTCGCAGAAGGGGTAGTACTGGCTCTTGTGATAGTTCTGTTTCTTTCTTTTTTTTCTTTTTGAAGAGCTTCTGCACTGTTTTTGTTGTTGTTGCCCATAATTGTGATTTTATTGGTGTTGCAACTCAGTGCACAGATACTTCATGTTACACTTGGTTCTTAAGCCACACCCAACCGTGGGCTGCTGAGCTGACAGCCAGGACAGTTAGAGCCCCCACAAGTCAGGACCCCAGTGTGAGTCAGACCATCAGTAACAAATGACTTGGCTTCTGAGAACAAGCCCAAAAGTGGGAAGAGATGTAGTTCCCTCCTTCAAAATCCTTCCGGAGCTACTCTGAAGCTTGTGAGAGTTGCGGCCAGGAGGGAGGAATGAGCGGCACTGGGCTGCTGCTTCGGAGCTGGGCTCCACTGCAGTCCTCCCTTTTCTTCCGGCAGGTCTTTAGTCCCTTGGTTGGCCACCGGTTCCTGTTTTACCTTGGCTGTTTCTTCTGAACTGCGAGTTACCCCTCCTAGCTGCCGGGCTCCTAGCCCTCCTGGGCTCTCTCTGCCGCTGGGGCGCTCCTTCCTCTTGGGCATTGTGGCGGTGGGCAGGAGCATGTGGTCCAGGCCTTGGCCACTTCTCTCACCACCAGCGCAGGAGCTGCCAAGAGACTGGTGGGGGCAGTGCACTTTCCTGTTCGCTGTTAGCATTGTACCATTCCATTGCGGCCGCTTGGGGAGTAAAGCAGTGGATGGAAGATCTCTCCTCGTATATCTGTCTTTCCAATAAAAAATAATCAAATCTAAAAGGATAGTAACAGGTGTGAGGCTAGTTTTTATTTATTTTAAGGCAAAGACCTTTTGTCTGCTGGTTCACTTCCTTCATGGCTACCCAGCTTGGCCAGGTGGAAGCCGGGAACTGGGAATTGCATCCAGGTCTCCCACGTGGGTGGCTGGGGCCCAGGCACTCTCCTGCTGCTTTCCTGGGCACATTATCAAGGAGCCAGATTGGAAGCAGAGCAGCCAGGACTGGAGCTGGTGCTTATGTGCGATGTAGTGTTTATGAGGAAATTTTTTTTTATTTTTTTGGTAGAATTGGACAGCTGATCCACAAATTTGTTTGTAAACCGCAAAAATACCCATTGATACCTGGATGACAAAACTGCAAATAGAAGGAGGGAAGATGACAAGGAGGCCAGCTGCTGTGGCTGTTTGGAGAGCAGCACCCTGGCCTGTGTGCCGTGGCTGGAGGAGAGGTCTCGGCTGTGGGGCAGGACACGCGCCAGGCGCCGTGCGGCTTGTGGAGGGATTTCTTGTGCACTGCCAGGGCCTTCCCTGAGCCCCTCGGGCTGTGTTGCTCTCTTGTATGCCGCTGCAGAAGCCGGATTTCTAGTCTGCACAGCCTCCACAGGGAGAGTTTCTCAGCCTCATTTAGCTAGCTGGAAAGGTACAGCTGGTACTTACTGAGTATGGTAAACAATCAGACTGGATTACTTTGATTTTTGGAGTGACAAAATTCATGTGGATGAAATGATGAAATGTTCAATACTCGGGATGTGTGTGGATTCATGTTTGATGTTGAGCAGTGTCAACATTAAACACCTGGTAATTTGCTTTATGGTATTTGATTCATTGTGGTCAGCATTAGTTAAAAAAAAAAAATCTGTTTTATAACAAATGGATGGAATGAAAATCCTGAATTCCTTGGGCTGTGTGGTGCGGTTGTGCCTTTACTGCTGCATTTGGAAGGGACGTGGTGTCCTTAGAGATCTTCGGAGCCTGTCTCGGACAGTTGTGTTACCTTGACGCACAAGCAAGAGACCCGACCATGGCTTTGAGCGCTTTATTTCCTGTTCACACAACGAACTGACTTAAATTCTACTCAGTAACTTGAATTAGAATCCTTTATTGACACACATCCATCCCGAAGTCCTTTATTCCTCATGCCTCCTGTGCTCCCTGGATGGAGTATGAGGGAGAAGAGGCGGTTGTCTGAGGTGAGGCTGGCATTAGGGTCTGAGCTAGGAGCACTTGAGACGCAGTTTCCTTCTTCTGCAAGCTGGTTGAGGGTTTGCCTGTCCACTGGGCTCAGCCTTTCTGCCGTTTGTTGCTGATTGGTTGGCCTTCAGAGTCTCTCACATCGCCTCTTTACGGGGAGGGCGAGGTGCAGTGCATGAGCTTGGCTGTACTTTCTCCTAAATGTGTCACAGGCAAGCCCTACGTCACTGCAAGTCCCTGAATGTCCCTGACACCGAATGTGGCTACTGACTCCGGGAGGGAGAAGGTCACATTGCTTAACGGTAATTAACAGTTCATACATCTCATAAGGCTGACATTACATTATGTCAGTTAATGTTCCACACACATTTTACACTTTAGGGGGATGGGTTACACACAGTTTTAAACAAGTTTTGATATTACAGTGATCTCAGAGCCTTTTTCTAAAAGTTCATTTATTTTATGTGAAATGCAGATTTTGCAGAGAAGAGGAGAGAGACAGAGAGGGAGGGCGTTCTTTCATCTATGCTTCGCTCCGCAAATGGCTGTAATTGCCAGGGCTGAGTGGATCCGAAGCTGGGAGCCAGGAGGCTCTTCCCAGTCTGTGATGTGGGTGCAGGGCCCAAGGAACTGGGCCATCCTCCGCTGCTTTTCTCAGGCCGTAAGAAGAGAGCTGGATAGGAAGTGGAGCAGCCAGGACACCAACCAGTACCCATATGGGATGCCTATGCTAGCAGGTCAAGGATTAGCCTAGGCCAGTAGTGGAACAGCTGGAACTCGAGCTGGCGTTCTGATAGGGAGGGTGGCATTGCAAGTGACAGCTGTAACGTAGTGCTGGCTCCTATGCCATTCATTTGGAAGGTATTTGAGATCATGTTTTTTTAGATCCTGTCTTAGTAGCAGACGTATTCAAGATTTTCTTGGTAAGTGCTGAGTTTTCTTCCAATTTTATGTTTTTCAGAGTTGCCTAATTCAATGATTATAATTGATATTTGGGAGCTTTGCTGTGTTTCTCAAGTGAGAACTGTTTGGCAGGACCTGGGCCAACTGGGATGGTCTTCATCTGATCTTGGATTGGACAGGGATGCTGTCCCCAGGGGCTCCCTCAGCCTCAGGACTTGGGGAGTTAGGGCGTTACTGTGGACTGAGAACAGTTTATCTATGTTTCTCCTTCCATTTCTTTCCCTCCCTCCTTCCCTCCCTTCCTCTGTCCCTTCCTTCTATTCTTCTCATGATACATTCATCTTTTGTGGCCCTAGGCTCTGTATGGATGTGGTTTGGTTGTGCTACGAATTCTGGTCTGGTCCTGCAATTAGGTTGGTTTATGTCTCTGGTCCTCCCCTTGCCTGTCTAGGTGGTAAGTTGGTGCAGGTTTTCATGATGTCAAGTTCCTGTGGTAGGTTGCTGGGCCACAATGTCAGGATCAGGTTTGCTGCTTAAAAGCGATATGAGCTTGTGACTATAAGGTATGAAACCCCTTCATGAAGTGGGGCAGTGTTGTCTACCTCCTGGGGTTTGTTAATGCCTAGGTGAGTTAGTTTTTTAGTTTGACACATGATAAACCTTAACTTGGAATCAGCATTGTCGTGGTATGTTCGTTATGATCAGAATTGCTATTAATTCCATTTTGGGGCTGGCTTATACTCAGTATCCCCCAGGATGGAGTTGTGGTCTTCATTCTACAGAACAAGAATCAGATTCAGAATATTGAAACAATTCCGTGTCCCAGACAGAAGCCTCCTGCAGTGCTGTCTGCAGCTTCCTCAAGCCCCTCAGGAGGAAGGAGGCAGGGAGGTGCCCGTGTTTCTGCTGGGCGCCGCGACCAGAGTGATGACAAGTAATGTCACTACCTGTGGAGCTGTGTTGTGTGTTGAGACCTGTTGTCTGCTGATTTTCAGAAGGTGCTTATATCCTTCATTTTTAACAAAGATTTATTATTTTTTTTTAAGTAGAGTTATGGGGAGAAAGGGAGAGGCAGGGGAAGAGAGAGATCTTTGGATCAGTTGTTCTTCCATCTGCTGGTTTATTTCCCAAATGACCACAGTGGCGAAAGACAGGATCTAGAAACTTCATCCGCGCTTCCCAACTCTGTAGACTTTCCTCGTGAATTAGGAGTGGTTGGAGAACAAAGGCCCCACCGGCTGGTTACTTATCTCGCTGCTCAAAGCAATCTGTCCAAGTTGCTGAATTTTAAGATGACCTTGACTTCTGTCAGGGAAAGTAAAACACAAGGAAGAACTGTCCTTAAGAAGACTGTTGCAGCATGGAGTCCAACAGGAGTCTCCTCTTCCGCTTCTTCAGTATTATTATTCAGACTTTGAAGCTAAGAGAAAAAATCCTGCATCTTAGGTCCCACAATATTCCCTATAATAATTTTAAAAGAATCATTCTTCCTCAAATTCTTGTTTTTTTATATTTCCTAGGTAGTTTTGTTACTTCATAAGTTTATGAAAGTGTTACGAAAAAGATTATACCTCAAGGCTATGTGGGCTCCTGCAGATTTTTAAAAGCAGTTTTACTTTTAATGTTGCCCAGGGTTTTTCTTTACAAAATTCTTATTTCATCAAGGGAATTATTTCAACTTTAGTGTCAAAATTAGGTGGTAAAATGCCAAGGGATAAAACTGAAAACAAAAGTGGCTTGATGCAATCTGAGTCAGACTTGATTTCCAGCTTACCCAGTCGCAGCATGCGGCTGTCAGTTCTGTGAAGGTCTCAGGGTGAGCTGGTCAGGGGGCAAGCTTGCCTTGCTGTATGCGTAAGGTGTCCGCTGCTGGCCACTCGCTCCTCCCTCTTGCTTCTTGCCCCCCACCCCTTCCCTGAGTGAATCTAGGAACACAGCTCCAGGGGTCATCTTAGGAGCTGGTTTTGTTTTGCTCACTAGCTTCATCTGGCAGGACGGTCTGTGTTTCAGATTGCAGAAGCAGGAGGAGGCTTGTTTCTGAGAGGCTTCAAAGCAGCTGGGAAATAGTAGAGAAGAAGCACCTGCCGAGTGTGCCTCAGAGAAAGGAGCACGCAGGGGAAACGGCCCTGTGGGGCGAAGCAAACACTGCTGCAGAGATGAGCTGGGACTTTGTTGTGTGACTTGATAGGACTGGGTGTGTGTTGCTTGAACTGGCAGGCCACAGGCGCTGGGACCAGCAGGTGCTGTCTGTATGGAGAAAAGCGGCTGCAGTCCATTTCCAATGTGTTGGGCTAAAGGTATATTTACTTTGCTAAAGGGGTCAGTAGTGTTTTTCAGAATCTGCTTCAGACAGATTTACAGTTAGTGGAAAATGGAAAACGGGGGGGAGGGGATTGCAATTGTTGTATAAAGCCAATCGATATTTTTTGATAGTCAATAAGATATTATGGAAATGTGCTTTGAGTTAAATTATTTTTACGTTCTGTGTCATGTCTCTGAAACATTTTCTGTTTTTCTTAAGATACGCATATCCAGTCCATGATATGGAGGTTTTAAAGTAATAAACTAATTTTAAGTTAGTAGGACAGGAGGAAAAGCAGTACCATGGATTGTTTTGCTAAATAGTTTGATTCCCCTTGCTTCCTGTAAAGATTGAGTACTTAATGTGAAAGTCCGTATTAAGATAAGGTGATGTTTATCTTTGAGAATCTTAGACATGGCAAGTAATTTTCTACTTGAATGCTGTTATATTTTTAATATTAGAAAAATATAAAATACAGCATTTTCATTTGGCATTTAATGAAAACAGTGCTAGGAAAGCTTCCAGTTAAAAAATGCCATGGAACTCATGCATACCAAATTTACCTGCTTTACTTGAAATAGCAGTGAATATTTAACTTAGGAGATGAAGTTCTTAATAAAGATTTAATAAAAGTATATTTTTACTTAGAATATACTTGTCATGTTAATCCACTTAGAAAGGATTTTTTAAAAAGGAGGAATCTGAGCTCTGTTACAAAGCTGCAGTTTTATAAGCTGAGCTGTGTATGGATTGATTGAGTGTTGGGTTAGAAAGTTTAGTACCAGCAGGATGCTGATATGTTAGCACCAACCTGCAGTTTCCCTATTAGATTTGTTTCCATTGTCACCATCAGTTCTGATTCTTAGTTCTTTAATGTTTTAGTAGTTAGTGTGAGGGTGTCTGGGCAAGCCCCTATCAATTGCTGACATAATTAGAGATGCAGAGTAAAGATTTTGCTGAATTAACTTGGTATTCTGGGATTTTTTAAAAGGGTATTGGGTGTTTGAAATTTTTAAAATTGCAGTTGCTCAGCATCATTGCTGTGTGGTATAACTGTCAGGACCAGTAGTTAGCACTCAGAGGTAGAGTTCTGTGTGTGTTTGGAAAGTTTGCTCACTTCCCAGACTTGCAGGGGGTTTGTTTAGTACCAGCCCCCTTGTGAGACAGTGCTGATTTTTAAAAATTTATTTTTACTGGAAAGACAGATGTATAGAGAGAAGGAAAGAGACAGTAAGATCTTCCACCAGCTGGTTCACTCCCCAAATGGCCGCAATGGATAGAACAGAGCTTATCTGAAGCCAGGAGCCAGGAGCTTCTTCTGCGTCTTCCACATAGGTGCAGGATCCCAAGGCCTTGGATGTCCTTGACTGTTTTCCCAAGCCACAAGCAGGGAGCTAGGTGGGAAGTGGAGCAACCAGGACACAAACTAGTGTCCATCTGGGTTACAAGGCAAGAGTTTAGCTGTTGAACCATCATGCTGGACCCAGACTGCTCATTTTAAAACAAGAATGCTCTCATTGTAGCGGCTTGATTTAAGGACTGAACATCCAGTAGCAGTGGGATGTTAATGAATCGGCTAGAGGTTTTCATTTTATTCCGAGTGACACTTAAAACATGAAAACTTTGGAAATTTTTACTTATCCTGAAGCAGTTGATCAAAGCACCTTACTTTTTTTAGTTAGGTGTCCTGGCTGCAGAAGCAAATGAATTGAGCTGTTTTTGATATCTAAATTAAGAAGGTCAGGGAGTGAACAGAAACACACACACACACACACACACACACACACACACACACACACACGTGTCAGAGGTGGGCAAAGGGCAGAATAGCATCCAGGGTTAGACCCCTCAGCATCTCCCTGGTGCCTGGCTTGCATCTGGGTGGTTGAGAAGAAGGCCTGGCAGCAGGAAGGGAGTTGCCTGTGCTGCCCTCCTTGGGGCTGAGCTGAGCACTCTTCCGCAAAGATCCCCAGGGTGCAGCTGCCTTGGTGAACTTCCTCTGTCGGCTCATCTTACTCTTTTGTACCAGGACAGGAAGGCAGGAAGCCTTTTGTTTATATGTTGGTTAATTTATATCTACCGGATAAGGACAGAGTTGGTGCGTAGGAATTGGCTGAATTGGTTATTTTCAAGTATAAAAGTTACAGCTTGTCAAATAGGACAAAGTTAGTGCCTCAGATCCAAAGAATATAGACATCCCTTTCTGCTGCTTGACATTCTAAACTGCACAATTGATTTTATCAGTTGCATTAACCTCAAAAACAGCAGTGTCCCAGTTTAAGAAGACATTGAAAATACCAGGCCAGCCTAAAAATAATGAGCAGATCTATATTTACAGTCCTTGAACTGAAACCTTCAAGGTACCCTTAAAATACTGGAGGGTCTTTGCCATGACCACGTTATTACATTGTTGTGTTTGGTATAAAAAATTTAGATCCCACCCAAGTAAGATTGTATTTTGCACTGTTTTTGAAAAAAGGCTGTTGTTCCAGACTTCAGGAGACAGCAGGTCATCGGTGGTTCCAGTGGGTGGGTCCTGCGTCCCTGGGAGAGAGCTGTGTTGTTGCTGGTTCCTGCCGTCAGCTGATTGTTCAGCTCATTGTGCGAGTCTGGGGAATGAGACTAGCAGGTGGGAATGGTCCTGCCTTCTTTCTGCATCCCTGTCTGCGCCTCTCAGGCCAACACATATACATATGTTTATGTATGTGTACGTGTGTGTATGTAGGTGTACACACACATCTGAAACTTAGGCATTGGCTCAGTATTGTGGCAAAACTGATAGAGTGCAGTTTCCTGTGGTTCTCAAGTGAGGAAGAGAATTGAAGCTTGAGGAAAGTTCAGGAAGGAGACTGTGGGGGCTCAAGGCTGGCAGAGGTAAGGCCAAGCAATGCAGATGAAGAATTGGCAGAGATGCCCTGACCTCCATATGGCCCAGGACCTGGAAGTGCAGTGGCTGATGCAGCGTGGCACGCGAGTTGTCGCTGGAGCTTGGTGTGTGCTTTGCTCGTTGGCTGCTTTTGTGTCAGGCGCACGTAGACCCTAAGTGCTCTAGAGGCTGTACCTTTGTCTTACAGACTTTATGTGGGTTATAATTTGAGGCAGAATTATAGGTTGTAAACATTATTTTCTTTTTGATATTTATGCTGGTGAAAAAGTGGTTATATTGAGAGATGTATGCAGTGTATTATACTTTTTAAAGTAGGGGGAAAAAACCAAGGCCATGCTAATATAACCAGGTAAAATTGCTGTGGATAATGCTAGCCTTTGTATTTCACTGAAGGTCTGTTTTGGTACCTTTTTCTTTAATTTCTTGTGTTTGAAGAAACAGTTCTGTTGCAATATCATACACATTATCATTTATTATTTTACTGTGAAAATTAAAAAAATTTTTTTAAAGTTTTTTTTAAATTGGAAAGGCAGATATACAGAGATAAGGAGATACAGAGAAAATGATTTTCTGTCCAGTGGTTTACACGCCATGTGCTCACAACAGCCAAAACGGAACTGATCCAGACGCAGGAGTTAGGAGCTTCCTCCGGGTCTCCCACTTGGGTGCAGGGTCCCAAGACCTGGGCTATCTTCTGCTGCT